AGACAGGATGTGAAGCCAGGGAGAGACGACTGACAAAGAGCTGCTAGAGTCAACCCTCTCGGAACCTTCCCAACGCCAGGTGATCCCCAAAGCCCGTCCCCGTGCTCTCGGCCACCCTCCCACGCTCTAATTTAAGGACATGATGGCATTTTTCAAAGGAGTCAAATGTAAGAATGGCACAATCAAAGATACAAAAACAAAATACATGTTGAAGATTCCAGCAGTGAGAATAAATGCAAATGGAAAACTTGAGTTGTCAGCGCTTCAGAGAAATGTAAGTTCTCTTATAAAAAAACAAATTAATTGGAGAAAGACTTTTTAAAGCCTTTTTCTCTCCTTCCTTCCTTCCCTTCTCTCCATCCATCTATCCATCCACCCAAGGATAGCTAATTAAGCTCACAGGTCTGGGGATGAATTGCCAGCCCACGCTTCACCCGTTCCATAACCATGGGGCTCGCTTAAACATTCCATGCCTCAGGTTCCTTAATTGAAAATGAGGATATAAAACCACCTACCATTTACAGTGACAGGCATGCTCTTGATGCAAAAATACTAAAGGAAAGTTACCATTATTTGAACTACTAAGATGTGTTATCCTTATTACTCCACAGGAAAACAGAATGCCTGTCACACAACAGACTGTCGATACATACTTTTGAATGAATAAATATGTGAATAAATTTCATAGGTTAGATGCTCATGTGAAATGCAATATATGAATACTGATGCTGGATGTTCTCTGGAGACAATGTGATTATTAATACTTATTGATTTTTTTTCAGAAACATCATTCTGGTTCAAAAATTATGAAAAAAATACCAAGTGCAGTTAGACATATATATATACACACACATACACACACACATATATCTCCTAATGAGCAGGGTTTTTTTAAATTGGTGCTTTGTATAATACAGACTGAAAATTAGCTGAACACAGGGGTTTATTAATGTCTATGGAAATGATTATCAAGTTTCAGAGAGAGGACCTGGATAAACGCTAAGCTTCAGGAGGGCAGGGTGGTTGGTTTCTTTTTTTGTTTATTTTGCCAGTATATTTTGTTTATTTTGCCTTATAAAAAGTCTGAGGCATTCAGGATCCCTAGATGCTGTCAGGAAAACTAAAAAATCATTTTTCCCCATATTACTTCTAAATGGAATGTTCAAATTTAAATTCATTTTATGTATCTTTTGTTGCTTGAAAATAAAAATGACAATTCTCACTTTATGGAGAACTCGGGCTTGGAACTACTTCTCCCAGGTGAGAAATGAAACGGAAAGAACCAATACCTTAAAAATATGAAAGTGGTGATGTGTGTGCGTGTACACGAGTGTGCAAGTATGCACAGAGAAGTGGGTGGTAAAGATGCACACGTATCAGATTAAAATTCCTCAGGAATATCTGACCCAAACATCCTTAGAAGGAAGACACTAGGCTGGCAGAAGTAATAACTGAACTTTTACTCATGATCCTTTCAACAAAATCAATCTATCCTTGTATCAAATGTATGTACTACCTAGTGGTCAAGTTCAATCCAAAACTTCAGGGAAAACTAAAATCATGATGAAATGTTTTGTTGTAAATCAAAATATTTACTTTTTCAAATACCAATTCATTGATCCCTTCCAAATCCATGCTGTCTGAGTTCCTATGACCGTAAACGTTCTTGTCCCCCCAAGTCAGACTTCAAATCTCTCCTCCCAACTTGCAGGTCTGAATACAAAACCCACCTTATCTAAGCACCTCCAAGGAAAAATCTAAGAGTAACCACAAAATGCCCAATCTCAGAGCTATGAGCTAAGGGTTTCTTATGCCTTAGAACAGTTTACAAAAATCGCCACATGGTATAAAAAACTTAATAAATGGATGTCAATCTATCTGGGCAGATGTATCAGAGAAAAAGCAGCCACAGAAATGAAGGGCCGAGTTATAAATCAAACCCCACGCACACTGATGGAATTTCTACAGCTAGAGAAACCCTTGCAGAGATTATCTGAGAAAATATTACTGCAGCCAAACCTGTGCGTCCATTTTAAAGTCAACTTGAAAACTTTAAAAGCTACTTAAAGTTGACTTTTCAAAGTCAACTTGAAAAGTTAACATTGGGAAAGGACTTCTGGGTCAGTCACCAGCCAGCATGCTGACTTTAATGTCGAGGGACACCGGCTCTGAAGGGGAGTCTCAGAAGCACGACACAGTCCAGCTCTAAGGTTCCAAGAGCAAACTGGGCTTGCTCTTGTCGAGTGTGGGATGGTCCCCGCGGGGGCCGCGGCAGGGCGTGCGGATCTGCCCTCGCCTCCACTCGGTAACGGCATCTACATGCCCACAGGCTGGGCATGCCGCTCAGGCTAACGCGAAGGTACCCACCAGCCATTTCTAAGACTGGGGCACTTCAACCACAGCAAGCAAAACCAAAGCACTGAGGCACAGCGCAATGTGCACGCTGAATGCCAAGCTCAAAGCGCTCACGTGAAGGAGCCGAAACGCCAGAGAGGGAACACGCCTTCGGCGGCAGCCTTCCTTGCCGCCAGGCGCCGTCCTGCACAAGACCGGGGCAGTATCTATCTGCGAGGCCTTCACCGCAGCACCTTCATCTCCGCATCGCGCCGGGGAGGAGAGAACGGAAGCTTTACCCCGCTCAGCACATATTTGGGGCTGAGGCCTCAGATGCCTGCGCTTCCTCTAACTAATAGCTCCTGACACAGGAGAAAAGAAAGAAGCAAATGGAAAACAGTTCATAATTAAAACATTCCGAATTGAGTATCAGATTCATAAATTCATTCTGGAGAAAGAAATAGAAGATGATGCAGCGGAACAGAAAATAACTCCCTCATTTAGAGCACAAGTTGCCCTTTGTCATAATAATATTAATTTCAAATATTTGCTGCCACTGCTGAACGATGTGTATCTTTCTTTCCAATCTGTTTTGTAAAAGAAAAGAAGACTGTAATTACGACTGATGTTGAAGTTACAGCCTGGTTTCACCACTGAAGGATGGCTCCAGGGTCCCCAGCTATACAGGTCCACGTGTTCCACTTGAGGCCTCTTTACAGAAATTCATCCACATCTGACTCCAAAATCCATTCCTGAATTTTATTTTGTCATTCTGCTTAATGCCATAATTGTTTTATTCAATTAATTATCTGTGATATCATTAAGTAAACTCACAACTGTATTTATAAGCTATAGTGAGGTGGAGTTTATTGGCTGAATGTTACTGTAATTTAACCATTATTTCTCACCGCCTGTATCAATAAATACTCAAGCTAGCATCCTCTTCTCCAGCTCACAGTAAATGCCTTAAAGCTTCACCTGAATTTACTCCCCAAATCAATGGGACATTTAGTAACGTGAAGATACATGAGATTCCTATACTGGGTGTTTATACATATTTTAATGCTCAGTTAAACAAGAAAACCTTTATTTCTAAGACATTTCAAATTTCAAATCCTAGAGACCAACTGACAGGTTATCTGGAGTTGTCTGCCAAGCCCAAAGTCCCAGAGGTTAAGAGTCACCGCTTCATTACATCATCCTATTGATTTAGCTGTGTTTAATTAACTTAAATTATTTTTACTCGATGATTATAAATTCACAACCTCTCTACTCAAAGAGTGAGACACAGAATAGGAGGAGATCTGCTAAAGTGACAAAAAGACTTTGATTTTCAAGAAATGGACTTAACGCCAGAGAATATCTCACCTGTGGCTACAGCTTACTTTAAAAGACTACAAAAAGCCATCGTTTATTATGAACTTAATTCATTTGCTTCATTCCTATAATTGCTAACAAATATCAAAGTCAAGCTGATGGACCATGATGCAGTAAACCTCAAGTGCACGGAGTTTTCATGAAGGAGGAGCACGAACGCCCACAAGATTCCTTCCAAAGGTACCCACGTTATCTTCACGGCCATCACACTGGAAGCAAACCTGCAGAAATTCTCTACTGCAGAAATATTTACAGCTGTCACACAGCTCATGTTCAAATACCTGACAGACTTGGCACTCAGGCTTACATACTAACCTTGCATTGAAAGAAAAACGTTAGTAAAAATTTGGTAAAAATCTAGTTAGACCAACCAGCACCTCAATTATACTCTCCAGTGGCGTGACCTCCAGGGGCGGGGGGCCGAGACGGTCGGCCCGACGGCCCAGCGACGTCAGGACCCCACGGGCAGCGCGCGCCGGGCGGGCTCACAGCGCCCTTTGCTTTTTCATTTAAAACCGACTGCGCAGCATCCAAAGTGATGCTCAGCTTTACATCTAGACACTGAGGCAGGCTCTCACCGGAGTTCCCACTGCCCCTCTACCAAAACCCATCCTGAGAACTCAAATACAATAATAATAAATCTCTGTCTCATTCAAAAATCCCTGACAGTATGACAGGCATCTCAGAGGAAAACAGATGACCCCACCAAAAAAAAAAAAGAAAAGTGGTGGGGGGGGGTTGAACCAATGCCATACCTGGTGACAGAATCCTGATGAATAACTATCTAACCTTTAATTAGAGGGAAAAGATGTGTTTTCTGTGTCATTTTTTTTTCTAATTTCCATTTCTTCTTCTTTTTCCTTTGTTTGGTAATGAAGAAAGTACCCAGAAGCGATCCCGTTCCTTTATCAGGTGCCATGGTGACGTTTTGGACAGTAACACTTCCAAGGCGCTTCCTGGCATCTAGGGGTTCCAGGAAGGCACACCACCTTTATTCCCTTAAACACGGGCCCTCAGGACAACAAGGCATCCAGCCTCAGCGCACTCAGGAGGGACCTACAAACGAGCTAGCGCAAAGCTCTGCTGAGTGGTTTTCCCTCCCACTTTCCTGCCCACACTGCTCAGGATGAATCGTGCATACTTCTGAAAGTCACCAGTGGTCAAGTCACTTTGCATTTTGGGGAGATTCTTGCTTCCGATACCAGTTGCTTTAGACTATGGCTTCCCATGACACCTCCAACGAGGCTGCCCTCAATGACTTATCATCTGGGACCAGCAATGCTCAGTACCTGTGAGAGGGGGCACTCCTTCGCCAAGGAGCTCTGATTCATATCCTTCAGCAAGTCCTTCAACGCGTTCCTCACGGTGGTGTGCGACCACTGCTCGGGAGGCAGGTCTTCCAGTTTGGGGCAACTATTGGAGACACAGATTAGAAAGGGGATTATGACAAGATTGCATCCCGCTGCAGAACATTCCTTTAAGACAGACAGATTTCATTTTGCGCATCAAACAGATGCATCTGGAGATTGCTCTCGGTCTCCTGATTGTTCCGATTAGTTAATTACTTTATACAACACATCTGCTGTATCGATGCATGAATTATACATCAGCTGCCTGTGGTGGCTATTTTTCCATGTTACTTCTACCTTCCTGCTCTGATGCGCTTGGGAAGACAATCCAAGGTGTCCCGCTTCCTCAAGAGCCATTGTGAAAACGTGAACGTGGGAACCCTTCTCCCTTCAGGACTCCGCTCGTACGAATTAAAGTGGTTAAAAAAAATTATATAAATAAATAAGAGCTCGGCAATAGTGAATAAGGCATTCTTTCACAAAGTGTACACAGATGGCAGTGTTCATGATATGCAAAAATATTTTTCTCTTAAGTAAACTTTATGTAAAATGCCTTCTTGCAATGCATCATTTAATTGATTACATAGAAAAAGTCTTGTCTTTTGATAACCTGCACAAGTAGATGCATTTGGGGGGAACAATGCTTTTAAATGATAGACTGAAATTAGGAAAATAAAGGAGAAAGGGTGAGGTGACAAAATCAATTTGGGTTAACCTCTCTGAAATGCAGAGCAAATCACAACTGAAGACTGACCAGAGATACTTTGTTTCAAACAATCAGGTGAGTACAATGCTCTGCCCTGAAATTGCTTTCCTGACTCACCTGTGTAACTGAATTTTCAATGTGACCACATGATACACGTCTTGAAGCATATCTGCTACTGTAGCATCGGGGGCATCTGTCACGTAAGACAGTGGGACCGGATTCCACTTCCCAACCTGGATCAGCCCTATTCCAGATAAAGAGCATGTGTCACTGCATGTCTGACCCTTCAGATAACCTATCTAGCGGAAGGCTATTTTTCATTGCCCCTACCACAAGCAATTTTGGTACTTCTGTTTGAATGATTCCCGTCCCTCTAAAAGGCAGGTCAATGAAAATATTCACAGCTTAGTTTTCCAAACTGTGGAATTATGTAAATGACAGTGGGGTTGTTTATTATTTTGGAAATAAAACCCCATCAATAAAACCTAGGCAGAGGCCACATTTTCCTAACTTACAGGAAGTTCTAATAAGACATAGCTGAACCAGTTCTAAATGGCTTTACGATTTAGATAAGATTCTCGATTGCAATGGGAATCAGCATTGAAAAATACTTTACAGCCCATAAAACCATCAGAAACAGAATAAAAGAAACAGAACTAGATATTCAGTCATAAATGCAAATTGACTCTCAACAGTCCATCTGCTCAGATACGCTCCTCACTTCCTTGTGGGTCCTCAGTGGAGCAGATTATTAAGGTCAATAAGCATACTAATGATTCAGCTGAAGTAATTTAAAAAAAAAAACCTACCTCCACATTCCACATGAGCAAAATGTGTGTTAACTAAACCAAACTGAATTAAGCCAATTTTTTAAAGCCACAGTCTAGAAGGAACCCATGTAACGTACAGGCTACAGTTCTTTGAATGAAAATATTCAGATGCTTTCTCTGCAAGGTAAACAAAGGATGCCAAGCAATTTCCCCAACCCATGGATGCATCATTTACCTTTGGCCTGGGCAGCAGAACTATGTGAATAACCCAGAGACAGCAAGGCCATTTCTATCAGCTGGTTGAAAAGCATATCCTTCCTCACCAACACAAATTCTGCATGCTCCTCCTTACAATCGTATTCAATGGCATTTTCATAATGTTCCACCACGCAGAAAACCGGGAGCATGGTTCCTATCGAGGAGACAGAGCAAAAAGGGATGCAAACCAACAGATTTCAGCAGCACAGTCTGGGGGGAGGAGGGAGGCAAAACATGAAGCCATGAAAATAAATCTTCACCACCGTGAGAGAAGGGGAGCCTGTTCCCAAGGCAGACAGGGCACAGTGATCCAGGCATACAGACACAAAGATACACCTCCTTTTATTTTTATTTTTTAAGTTGTAAGAGAAATGTTGAAATGGAATATGAACTGGCCCTGAGGTAGCGTGGGCTCTAATTTTAACAGAGCACTTCCCCTGACCAATTAATGCAGAATTACCTTTCTGATCAAATCATAAGGCTGACAGAGAGGAGTGAGTGTCTGGTCTGATCTGCTGTGAGTGGCACCTGGTGTGCAAATGTTATTCACTCAACCCGGCTTCGAAAGAACCCATCTCCATGCTTCCTACATGCTTTTGTTAGGATTCACCTTTCCCTGTCTATGTCCAACCAAATTAGCTTTGATTATAAAATTATGAGCATTCGCCTCCTTCTTTACGATCTTCACGTTGAGGCCACAGAAGAAACACAGAACTTAACCAAACTGAAGTTCATGACACAGGATTTCAATATGCGCCCACTGCAGATGAGTGATATTTATTTTGATGGCTATCCATTTAATCTACCTGCCTAAAAGGACATCACGGTAACCACAGGTCTTTAAAACGAACAATCTCTGCTCTAGCAAGTGGGGTACAGATGAGAGCAAGGGAAACTGTCCTCATCAGGGGGTCTCAGGATGCAGGAATCTGCAGAGGCGAGATGTGCTCTCGTTTACTGTAATCCCAGGTAATAACTCAGGAGCCAGATGGTTAATAAACACAGGCCACACCACTGTCAGCAAAGAGGCTTCTAGAAACAGAAATCATGGAACGCTGCCGTCCTCGAGGTGTTTACACAGCGCACTGTCAGACTTCCAGTGATAAACGGAAAAGGGTTAAAGGCAGATCCAGCAGAGTGCAGTGTGGCATGCCGCCAGGAGGGCATCATCCTCAGCATAAATGATGACAGAGGTTACTGTACCAGGGCACCCAGGACCCCCAGTTAGTCCTGGAACGCTGATGCCTCTCTAAGCTCTGCCCTCTGCGTTCCCAGAATCCAACCAACTTCTGAAGGTGTCCGGGGCCGGCACAGCAGAGCTAAAAACCCAGGGTTTCCTCCTGACACCAGAGATGCCCTTTAAAAACGCCCTATTTGCTTGTTTCTGCCGAACAAAGCCGGCAGGAGAAGCAGCCACAGTTTTCTACGTGGGCATCTACACCACAGCTTCAGTGAACTGTTCACAAGAGATTCTAGTTCTGACAAACAAACCCCTTTAGGTTCACTTAGAAAAGCTCACAAACTCATTTGGAGGGACCCAACAGGCTAGGCATGAAAAACAAGCTGCGGAGCTTGCCAACATCCTTGTCATTCATTCGGCTGTTTTTATACCAGAGAGAGAACCCGTCAGGGATCAGAAGGAGACTGGGAGAGACCACGGCAGAAACAGCAGTATGCAAACTGGTGATTTCTTCCTTGGCTGGAAGGTACTTTGGCAAAACCTCCTAAACAAACAAACAAAAAAACCCCTGCAACCACTTTCCTTAAGGTGTGCTTTCTCAACCCAGCCACACTCACTATCTGGCACCTGTCAAGCGGAAACGCTCCACGTGAAAAAGAAGAGAAAAAAATACCACCACCAACACAAGGCTGGAGGCATTTTGTTGCTTCAAGCAAGCAGAGAACCTTCTACAATTAAAGTGCATGTTTAAAATGTCACTACAAATGCGATGCTTGGAAAAAAAAAACAGCAGCACTTGAGCAGGAAGCGAAATTATTGTACTTTGGTTTCTCCTCCCTCCATCCTGAGGTCTTCAAAGAGTTGGGTTACTAACACAACAAAAAAACACAGGCATTGATTTTCCCTCTTATAGCACGATACAGACCTGGGCTGCTCTGGGCTGCTCCTCAGACCTGGGAGATAACTGAAGGGTTTTGAAACTGTTGGAATACACGAGAGTCGCTCTGGATTTTAGAGGGACCCTGTAAGATCATTAAGGTGGCTGCTGATGAGCTGACAGTTGCAGACTCTAATTTTCAATCTGACTGCCTAAATCTCCCAGCGAACTGTCGCTGTCCTCCTGATACTGTGAGTCAGGCTGAACGGGAGCCTCCTCTGAACCGATTGTTTGTCTGAGTGTTTGGCGAGGCTTCCGACTCCAGCAACTTCAGAACCTTCCAGTGTGGAAAGGGGAGTGCGCTGGTCACTGCTGCCTGCTAAAAATACCGCATGATTTAAACCTGGAGGCAGTCTTAGAAGCTTTTGCTGAAGGTTTATGAGCCTGTGTAAACAGCACGTCTGCCATAAGGAGCAGTGAAGTCTGTAGAATCCTTGTCTAAAACTGTCCTGGCATCAAAGTTTGCTGTGCAAATATCACATAATACCAGAGACAGCTGAAATCTCCTATTTAGGAATTTATGGAACTTATATGTTTGCAGGCGTCAGAAAGTCTTTTTTATAGAGCCCCAGTGCTTCACAGTACAATATTAATGCACTCTGTTTGAAAAGCCATAATAAATTATATTTTTAATGCTCTTACCCTGGCTTTCTTAAGATGCATACATTCTTGGCAAACAATCAATAAATAGGGTAATCATGAGGAGAGGCCAAAGAATTTGCTGAAGTGCTGTTTTTCCATTTTTAATAGATAAAGATCTAACAATACGGACTGCTGTGTCTGTTCATTTCAGGATCAATATATTCTTTGTTTTCGCCAAACCAAGGAAAAAATAAATGATTGTATGATAAATGTTATGCATCAAACACAATGAAATTCCTCTGCCTGCTAACTTTATCTACTTAATATTCTTGGTTGTTACAAGATGGCATTTTTATCTTTTGCTTTAGCAAATGTATGGAAAATCTGAATCCCATACACAGTTATTCAGAGACAAATAAAGACCTTCTAAGGCCCACACGTCATGCCCAGGGTAGACCCTGATTTACAGAAACAACAGGGCTGAATGCAGTCAAAGTGGTTAAACTCCATCAATGTAATAGAACAGTGGCAACAGGAACCACACAGTTGCATATCCCCTCCTTATTAACTTGCTTAAATCTGCCCTTTTATCTGAAACACCCAATTACAGCCAAAGGGAAACACCAGAATTATCAGGTTTTTAGCTACTAAGTAACGAAGTTGCTCTTAAGAAAAAAAACCACAAGAAGAAAAAAAATCACAAAACTTTTACATCATATCAGAGAAGCCTTCCATTATCTGCCTTACAACCAAGTAATACTATGAACAAGCCAGGTCCGTCCTCCAACAATTTAAAGGTCTCATTCTCAAGCAGGGTTAGTTTCAGCAACAGCCACTTCTACACCCTCTTCTGCGCCACCACCTTATCAATGGAAGCCTTGTATAACCGAGACCACTAGACTTAATTCAGTCTTTATCATCCACAACGCCCAAAGACTCCAGCCTACAGGAGGAGGAGATGCTCTGCTGAAGCATGAAGCCTGCACTTTCAGACGTGCCTGACGCTGCAACCAGAGAGGGAACTCACTTCAGAACAGAAAAGAGAGTCAAGGAGAACATGCAAAGCCAGCCTCTGCCCGTCCAGCCCTGCACCAGGTGGTGCTGGGTGGACACGGGGCTTGCGGCTTTCCAGGATCTGGCTTGAGAGTATTTACCTTTCCTCAGGGTGCTTTTCATCAGATGACCCGAGTGTTTCAAAGGCACTCCCTGCATTTTTGCACCTGTGCTCCCAAGCCTTCCTCGTCCTAGCGGGCTCCCGTTCTGTTCCAGGCGGGCAATCTTGGCTGGCGGGCCCTTCGCATCACTCACATTGTTAGACATTTCTGAATGTTCTTTCCCCTGAGTTGCCTCATTCAAATGATCCATACTCAGTCAGTCTCTGAAGATCACCTGCCAGAATTTAGGAAGAAGACAGGTTACAGTTGGGTGGGGGGTCTCCGCACGCCCCCACCTTCTCTGTGTATATATAACGCCGTGCATGTTTTATCCCTGGATATTTCTCTCCACAAATACAATGTATTTGTCAGACTGCTTAACCAGACATATAATAGGTTACTCTATTTCTAGATCACAGCATTATATTTCCATTCAAGTTAACAGAATAATTTGTGGAAATTATATCAACACACATGAACGAAAAGATAATTTGTCACCTACCAGCAAAACTATGTGTGTGGGGGGATGGGGGGTGTGGGGGATTATTTTTAGAACAAGAATTACTACAAGTGTAGCTAAAAGGAAAATAACAAATTGTATTTATATAGTACCAATTGTTAAAAATGAGAAACTTAATACAGAACATAATAATGACACTTTAATCAAAGATGGAAAGATTATTTTATCAGTCCAAGAGATTAGTTACATCTGCTGCCTTTATATTTTAATATACATTTTAATTCTCATGAAGGAAAAATAGATTCATATGTATATACACCACCTCAAAAGAAGGTAGCAGACAACTGCTTTTTAAACTCTCTACCGGCTTTACGGTTAATGTGTAGAAAAAGTTTTCTACTGTCAAAGTATCAAGAATTACATGACCTGTTTTAAAGATTCAGTCAAGTCTTGGCTCAAACATGCAACTGGATCATTCCATCCCTAACCAAGTGGATGAAAGTGGAGGGTTTCTTCAAAGAGCCTCAATGCTAAAGTATTGCAGCTCATGTATCTTTTAGAGTTAATATTTAGGTATTCTTTTGTAATGGAATGCTGTTAACAATTTAAATACCACAAATTTTGAAAACATTTTGTAATATACACATTAGATTGAAGCGCTAAACTTGCTTTGAAAGAAAGCTTGTTAATTTTGGTAAAACAAAATAACCAGTGTTCAAAAGTAATCTCAGCAGGCAATGAAGTCAACATTTCAATTAACTCCAGAAAAAAATGAACATAATTATTTTTCAGTTGTATTATATTTTGGACATCAATTTTCATACTGTTTATAGTAAAGCAGCTAGTACATTATCAAAATTACTTCTACAATAGTTCTAACTAACATTGATAGGAACAGGTAAGTAGAATTATTTTATGAACTTTCATGGTGCTTGAAGTATTGAGTTCACCAATACTAAGGGAAAGAGAATCATACTCAGAAAAAACAGAGAGAATATGATAATTATCACTTTCCTCCAGCTGTTTGGTAATTTGACATATCTTGCATATTTATATAAATATATATGCATATATATAAAATATGAAGAAGCTACTTAGATACAGATTTGAAAGCAAGCTTATATTAGTAGCAGGGCCTTTCTGTAAGCATTGCTTCCCCCTCTGTTTAACCATAGGTTACTGTGTCCACTATAATCAAGGAAAGAGGTGATGGGGAGGGGGAAGCAAGGATAATCTGTAAGTTCAAAAGAAACCTTCAGAAGGCCAGTTGAAGAACTATAAAGTTAGAGAAATAATGGCTATTTATCCTTGTGCTCCAAGGTGGCACAGTGAGACCAAAGGTTTACCGTTGATCGAGGTCCCATCTGTTTTTGGTTATGAGGTTCATTAACAATAAATGTGCCTCTTTTAACCACTTTTTATCAAGATTATTCTTTCCATTACATTAAACTGTAGTCTAAAGCCAAAATTAGTGGTGATTATTAACTTACTCAAAACACTCTTTATAATGCTTCATGTGGGTTACAATACAGAACTGCTTTTCCTGAAATTGGCTGCCTTACCCGAAAGCAGAAGATGAATTTTAAAACATATGATTTGAAAAGAAAATACTTAACCCGTGTGGCAATTTAAGAGCCAAAAAAAAAAAAAATAGAGGATGAGTAGACAACAGCATCAAAGTTAATGCTACAAAACGTATTAAGTAGTCATGAAGCTTAACAGTATTATAAACTGTGAAGTGATAGATGATAATTTAGTTAATGTATTGACAATCAAAACATCATATAGGTCATGCAAAATTGTCCTTCGAATGAATACCCACCTATAAGCAGCTATTAAACACTCAGTCATCTTGTAAAAAGCTTTACATTATAAAGCAAAATTACATGCACATAAAACACCCAATTTACTCATTTAAACTCTGTGCCCAAGGCTGAAGTTCACTAAACCTGAGTTTGGAACTGCAAAGAGCAACCTCCGTGGGGCCTGCTGGACTGACTGCATGGGAACAAACTAAGGTCTCAACAGACGCCAGGCTGGAGAGTTTCTTGTGAGTTACACATTTTAAAAACCGATTTCACTGTGATGTCTGGCTGGCACATTGAAAGCAGGCTACTTTCTCCAAACCCCACTTCCCTGTCCATAAACGAAGTCCATATATGATCATTAACGAATTAAACAGCGAACTCAGACACAGCAATTATTTCCTTTAAAAAGAAAGAGCAAAGCACAAAATTCCGGTTTCAAGAACCTATTTGTTTGTTTTTTTTTTGCAGTGTGGGAGCCTTTTCAACGAGTTCCCTGCTGAATCGCCTCCTTCGCCCCCACACAACCCCATAATCACATTTTAAGAGACTGTGCTCTTATCCGTTCCATATGGCCGGCACGATCCAGGCCAAGCTTTCCCTGTGACCTTTTAAAGAGACAAAGAAGCAAAGTACTATCTAGAATCAGAAACACTGCAGTTTTACTGAGTGAAATTAGCAAAACCGACCTGAAACTCACCACTTCAAAACTTGACAGCATATAAATAACAAAAACAAAGGAGATTTCCTTTGCAGCTCGGGTTCTCGAAGAGAAGTTCAAGAATGATGTTTTCTATGTCCTTTTTTTTTTTTTTTTTTTTATTNAAACTCACCACTTCAAAACTTGACAGCATATAAATAACAAAAACAAAGGAGATTTCCTTTGCAGCTCGGGTTCTCGAAGAGAAGTTCAAGAATGATGTTTTCTATGTCCTTTTTTTTTTTTTTTTTTAAATAAAAAAAAAAAAAAAAGCAGCAGCAGACCTGAAGGCGACTTCCCCTGAAATTGTATTATTTTCTCCTCCTTTACCCTCGCCCCCCTAGGCGGGGGAAGGGCAGATAAGCGTCTGGAAGAGTAGTCACGGAAAAGAGGGGTTAAGGGGGGGAAAATCACAATCGGACCAACAGCATATATGGTTTGTAAAATGTCTAACCTCGGAGAACGGGGTTTTCGATGGGGGAGGAGGGGAGAGCGGGAAGGAGGGAGGAGGGGGAAGACAGAATTGATCTGACAAGTGATTCGTTGGGGGGAAATCGTAAAAACAAAGCCAGTACGCGGCGGCGGTGCTGGGGAGGCGAGGTGGGGATCGGGAATTCTCTTGAAAAAGGAAAAAAAAAAAAAAAACAACAAAAAACACCCAAACAAACCTCGGCGGCCGAGGTCTGCAGAAGCGACCCCCGCCCGCCGCGGCTCTCCGGGGCGCGGGCCGAAAGTCCGCCCGGCCGTGGCCCGCGGTCCCCTCCTCCTGCCGCCCCGCGCGCGCGCGGCTGGGGGGCCGGCTCGCCTCCCCCCGCCCGCTCCCCGAGAACCGCGCCGGAGAGTAACCGACCTGCAACTTTCTTCCCGCAGCCTCGGGCCCCGCGCGGGGCATCTAGCGGGGGGCCGGGGGCGCCGGGGGCCGCAGGGCGCGCAGGAAGCCCCGGCAAGGCACTGGGGCGCCACTTTGGAGCCGGCCCTCGCGGACGAGCGCCCCGAGGACCCCCCCGCGGCCCATGGACGCGGGGCCGCGAGCGTCTGCGGAGCCTGGAGAGTGAGGCGGGGGGGGGGCCGGGGAGGGGGCCGGAGGGCGCCCCCGCCGCCCCCCGAAAGTCGCTGAGCCCTAGGTCAGCCGGAGTCCGAGGTAAACACCCGGGCCCACAATGGCCCCGGGGCGCGGGGGGCCCGGACGCCCCGCAAAACTGAGCAGGAGTTTCGGCGCGCGCGGGCTGGGGGCGCGGGGCGCCCCCCACGAGGGCGCACCGGCCCGCGCGGGGCTCCGAGGCTCGGGCCCTTCGGGACGGGGCCGGGGGACGGCGGGGCACCGGCTCTCGAGGAGCGCGGAGCGCGCGCCAGCGGCAGCAGAAACGGAAGGGCTGGGACCCCCGAAACCCTCTGCGCAATATGATCGCTCCTCACGGGAGGGGGAAGCCTCAACGAAGAGCCAGCGGCCCAAAAAGAGGAGCACTTTCCGAGCTCATCGGTACCCGGCCCCTCTGTACCGGGCGCAGGTACAGATGCCAACGTCCCTCACTTCTGAGCCGGAGAACTCGGAGGAGGGAATCCGTGGCCCACGGTGGCCGAGTTAAACAAAATTTGGGTCACTTTCTTGAAACAGACCTGACTAGTTAAAAGTTATTACAAAGGAAAACCTGCCACCTTCACCCCTGGTGAAAGACAGTAAAGTGGGGGGGTGGGGGGGGGTTAATACCTGTGTTGTAGCAATAAATACTTCTGTAATCTAAGGTAAATTACCCGGGTAGATAAATGGTCATTACACCCAAGTATGATCCTCTTACTTAGATAATCTATTAAATATAGTGCCTATAAAAACGAAGAACATCACAGTCTTGCCCGAAATGGGGATGTAGCGTTCGTCGTTTAGGTTTGAGTGCTAACATCTTAAGACCCTGAAGGCAGTTAATCATTAACCAGAAACAAAAATGTCCCAATTATTTTTTCAGAATACACTAGGAGGGAAAAGAGAAAAATCAGTGAGATAAACATTTTGTTACACATAAGAAAGCAACAAGTTAGCGCAAGTACTGAGATAAGAGGAAAATATGCAAATGAAGCTCTTTAAAGCTACCAATACACTCGCAGACACTGTCTACACTAGAAATCTTAGACAAACAGAAGGTAAAACAGAAGATAAAGGATAGGAAATAATGGCCTCCTGGGGAGGACAAGTTCAGGAGGAACACAGAGAAAATATATCACTCTAAGGGCACCCACGTTTCACCCACAAAACCAGAAAGGTTAGTGAAGGCAGCAGTGAATCTTGGTACATGGAAACCCAAACCTAGAGCTAAAGAATGTGATGATAAAACACAGTATCAAAAACAAGAAAAGAAATATAAGGAAATCTTTATGGAAAAGCTCAAATGATACCGTATTTTCAAAAGTTGGTATGCAGTTAAGTATGGAGGAGGGTATTTTGATTAAAGTATAAGAAACACAATCAATAAGGCAATATATAAACATGGCAACATGTAACACCGGTGTCAGATGCAAGTAAGCATTTTTTTTAATGTTTGATATTCAGAAGAAAACATGGATAACACAGTTATCTTTATAATGAGAATGATTTTTGCAATGTGATGGGTTAAATTGGGAATTTCCAAGATGTATATTTTAATAGTTGCTTCACACTGGGGATGCCTGACATGTTTCCCTGAAACCTGCCTGGTTTTTCAGTAGGGACTGTGCATTCTAGTATCACAGTGTATAAATTTACAAGCAATAGCAAAATCTCAAAATAGAGAAGTATCGTGTACTACAAAGAATCATTCAGGCAAATGGAACTCAAATGGAGAGTTTAAAAAGAAAGAAAGTTGTTGGGCAAAACAAAATTTGAACAAAGAGAAAGGAAGACTAAAAAAGGTTACTGAATATATCAATATTAAAACACTGGGATAAAATACTGTAAATGATGATTATCCCATTATTTCCACAAATAAGACAGAAAACTTTCTGATTGCCTTAGCCTCCTATTGATGTGGGGGTTAAAATATTAATCTTTAAATTGAATAGCAGCTTTTATCTAGGAATTCCAAGCTAATTCTCAAACACAAAACATAAAAAAGTGTAATAAGGATGAACATGGCCTTGGAAAATGGTAAAACAGAATAAGTGAGGATAAAAGCATCTAATAATAACTTTACTACACAATTATAAGTCTGTTAATCATATATGCATATTAATTTCCCTCCAGCACATTCTTTATTTCAGAACTATATAAGATATAAGCAAAAGCACACAGAGGTTTATGCCCTCCAAGTAATAGTACACTGATGAACTTCCTATTTATTATTTACTCTTTTAGAATACTCACTAAACCACTGAGTACTAAACCCAGATTAAAATAAAGAACAAAGGAAAAGTAATAAGGAAAATTCCACCTTTCCAGGCATAGTGATAGGAGGCATCAGTTTTATTCTACAAAGTATCTTAAATTTGGCAATAAAGATGCAAACCAAGTATTGAAAAAAGTTAAGATAAACTTTATAAATCCAACTAAGAGAACGGAAAACCTCAGGAACATGAAATATTACAAGTTAAAGACATGAACTATTAAACATGTGGGTGTACAGTTAAAACAGTGCATCAATTTTTTATCACAGGAGAAGGAATTCAGTCTGGCTACACAAAGGTAGTGGAGATAAAATATGGTAACAGAGATACGAGATTTTTTAAAAACAATAACAAAAGGGCTACTGCATATTTCAGGGGACCCCCTATTAAGATAAATATGCTGGCAGATATCCGGAAGCATTAAAACATTCAGAATTCTGAATAGCACATACATTTGTAATAAACAGAGAAAGCATTTAGAATTTGAACGCTTTTAAGATACGGCAACTCCGCCAGTGACTGTGTTAGCAAAGCAGTGTTTATCACCATTGCACTTTCTAAGGACATGGTAGGGGTTTTTTTTTCCATCTTTTTAAATTCAAATACTGTTGGCTATCTCTCCCCACTCTTAAAGCAGCACATTTCACGTGGCATATTGCTCTTTTTGTCGTGCCGACTCTTTGTGTTTTGGCTTTAGTTGCAGGTGGTGCTTCCCGTATATGAATTTCTGGGAATACGGTCTGTGTTGGCCATATAAGGATGTCTCTCTGAGCCATATGTTCTGCTGTCATCTGTCTCATTTTGTCTGTCTGGGATGTCAGGACTGATTTCCACATCGTTTCTTGAATGGGCCAGATACAAATTGGTAAGAGCAGAGAGGGGGGGATTAAAAAAAAAAAACAACTGGGGCTGGAGCCCAAACAACTTTGTCAAAACATACATTGGAGAGGAAATGCAATATCCTGTAAACATTCGCACCCTCCTTCTCACGTCTTATCTGTGACTGACATCATCACAACTGCATAGCTTGAGAGAGGATCTGTGCGATCAGGTTCAGGAGTCTGCAGCCCGTGGGTGTGTGGCTGAGTCAGACGGACCCTGCGCCTCTGGAGGTCACGGCAGGCACAGGGGGACTGCCCTGCTCCGCAGTCCTGGGCCCCGCAGCTAGCCTGCCCCAGCCTTGAACCAGGGGACGGAAGCCACCTCGCGCCTTTCTCCTTCAGAGAATCAACAGGACTCTGATTAAGCTTTCGGGCGAATCATGCCAGAAGGCCTGGTCCCCATTTTACACTCTCAATAGGCTCTGGTGCTTCTCTTCTGTCACAGTCAGCATCAGTGAACAGTCTGCATAATTACCAGCTTAATAAATATCTTCCATCAGTCCAGTTCAGTCATGTCCGACTCTGCGACCCTGTGGCCTGCAGCACTCCAGGCCTCCCTGTCCCAAGCTAGACTGTCATCCCTATGAGAGCAGAGACTGTGTCTTGCTCACTGCCCTATGACCAGGGATTCATGCCGCATCCCTGCAATGTTTACATTTTGAATAAATAAATGAGAGGCAAAAGCTCAGGGTAACTTGCAACCAAATTCTATGGCTAGTTGGAATGACCGTTGCTCTTAGAGACTGTGGAAGTGAGGTGGAGTTAACAGTGGGGAAAGTGGCTGCGTCGTTGAAATGTGAATTCACTGAAATTAAATAACATTTACAGTTTAGTTCCTCAGTCACACATCAAGTGTTCAATAGCCCCATGTGATCAGTGGCTATCCTATGAGACAGTGTGGGTTAGAGAACCCTTCCACCATTGCAGAAAGTTCTATTAGGCAGCACGGACCTAGAGAACTTCTATAATACACAACTAAGTAAATCCAGGACCTTGCCTGGAGGAGTCTTCGAGGTGCTGGACGGCTTTCAGACATCCTAATGACGTCCAAATTGAAGTCCTTTTCCACTTTAGAACAGGCCCGTAGATCTGTAAAGCTGTGTGGAATGAGACGTGGGCAGTGCTGGACACAAATTTAAGACAGCTTTCTAGACACGCCTGCATGTGAAACGGTCTTAGAGTACATTTGGAATAGCATGCATTTACCCCAAAGGCTGCTTTCCATGAACATTTCAGCAGCTCACAGGTGAAGCTGAAAACCACAGAATCATTCCACACCCTCTCCCACCCCCACATTAAAAAAGCAGAGTTGCCACTAGAAATGGCTTTTTTGGAAGCTTTAATGTAGATATCTACTCAAACCGGGAGGGCATCCAAATACCAAACAAATAATGGTGTACTACAGAGAATCAAAGCAAACGGCTTGAATATGTTTCAGGAGAGAGAAAGGAGAAATAATAAACTCTAAACATGGGGCCTAAGGTTTTTGGGTTTTTTTCCCCTAATATGTGGGGTTTCAGTTATAGCCGGACTGATAGCGATCAAAAGTTGTTTCCTAATTACTTTAAGGTGAATGTAAATACCCACTGGTAATTTGGGTTATGGTTTTAATAGACAAAGGTTACTGTTACAGCAAAGCAAAGATAGGCTGATGTTTAAGCTAGTTTGGGGGGAGCGGGCTGAGGTATACAAACGGCCATTAGAGTTGGCTCCCAGAACCTGGTGAGATATCAGGGACTTTGAAATATCTGCAATGTTTACATTCTGAATAAATACAGCCAAAAGCCCAGTGTCACTTGCAACCAAATTCTATCGCTAATTGCAATGACTGTTCGTTTTTGAGACTGTGGAAGTGAGATGGACTTAACAGAAATATTACCTCTGAAAATTACTTTTTAAAGCAAGAATTTATTGGACAAATTTTTATATCTTCCTTCCATAGATATCAGTATGAACCATAACATTGACATGCACAATGGAAATAATCCCATCAAAATTGGTTATCTCTGCCCATAACTCCAAAACTGAGCAGGGGGCCAGGTTCCAATAGCAATGCTGTTGAGACCCCCGCATACCTGCGTATTAGCCTGTGTATTAACAGCTATCAGCACCAAATCCCTTAAGAGTTTCAGGCTGTTTTCTTTCCCCCATTGCTTCTGGAGAGCAGGTCCTCCCTCTTCTCACTGGGGACCTCCCTTCTGCCGCATTCTTTGATATGCAGCCTGATTGCACCTCTTCTTTCCAAAGCCTCCTCCAGCTATTAGCCCCTTCCTCCTCGATGCCCCATCCCAGCTCCCTCCTTCAAGTGTGGCATTTCATATTTGCATGCCTGCCCTTCCCAACTGCAAACATCTTGAGGCTGGACTCCTGTCTGTATTCCAGGAGTCTCTGACAGTGCCGGCAATTAACAGGGAAAGGAAGCCAAGAACTGTTTTGATGAGTGACTGCTGGTAAAAATCTTAGAAAGGTTCTTGCATTCTTAGGCAGTAAAGCCAAGGATAAGATCAGAAGTTAGTTCAGTGGCTCCTCAAATCTGCTGCATCTTAATATCGCTTGGTATGTCAAGAGTCCAGATAGCCAGGCTGCACCCCATTGCCAAGGGTCGGAGCCAGCGGTTGAGAGTTTCCAAGCTGATTCCAGCGCACATCCATTGGAGTAGGTAACGTGTTAGAGACAAGAAATCAAATATACCTGTTAGGACATCTTCCAAGGGTATGGAGATCCTGGAGGCACTTGGAAAAGTTAAGGCCCTTTAAGGAACCAGCACTTACCCCAAATTTAAGAAATTTATGTGCAGGCAAGCTACTTGTTTCAAATTTTAAAAAAAGGTAGGGGGCAAGCTATTAGATCATTGATTTGGTGAATAAAAGTCTGCTGTTTGAGGAACCATGATAAATTAGCATTTGGGCACTTGCTCGAGATTTACCGGGGTGCCAGAAATCCTGTGCAAGTGTATGATTTATCATCACAGACATAAGAGACTAACCACAAAATTACACATGGAAGTAAAGTTCCAAATCCAGTCTATTATTTACTGGAGCCAGAACCAGCCTGGTTTTCTCTGATTTTTTTTTTTCCCCCAACATAGTTGAGCAGGCTTTTTCTCCCAGAAAATTTCAACCTTGAGTGGGATTCCCTTTGAGACAGCTGAAACAATTCAACTCTCTTCTGACCCTAGGCATGGCACTCAGCAGGACTGAAGTGTCCACTGTCCATGGCCTGGAGTTGGTGCAGGGCCCCTAGCTGCCGTGTGGCGCCCCCAGGAAGCCCACGGGATTTTAATTCCAGCGAAGTCGAACAGAAACCATTCTCAGCCAGCCTTCACTCAAGACATACCAAGCAAGTCTTAGCGATGCTAAGTCAATGCTATTCTAATCTTTCCCAGTCACCTGAAGGGAAAAACAGTTTGAAGTTTCAACAGGCCTGGATCCTGGTCCAGGTTGTTTTTGGGAAAAGGCTCAACCAAGGGCAGTATCAGATACTGCACCACCGCGCCCACCACCATAAGCAGTGGACAAGGGCCACTGATCGGGGCAAAGGAGTGCAACGCACCTGGACAGTGTTTAAAGACTCCTATGATGCTTGAGACGCGCTGAAGCAAAGGGGGAGTTTAATTCAACACTCAAGCGCATTCTCTCTGGGATGACGGCAAAGAGCTGGAAGGGACTGTGGCGCTGGGCGCACAATAGTGTGACTGTGACCAACGCCACTGAACTCACACTCACACTGTCCAAACGGCATGAGGTATGGCACCCATCTTTTACCCCAATTCAAAAATTTGAAAACAACAAAAGTAAAGGAAAACAGTCCTCTATTCCTAAGACTGGCAGATGTATATCATCATGAAAACATCATGCTGTGCAGAAAACAATACACTGCAAGACATTGACAACTGCCTCCAACCTTCCACTGCCTTGCCCTTACCCGCCAACAGCCGCGGTCCGGTCTCCACTGGATAATTAATTCACATGCTGATTACCTGGCCCAAGGATAATTCACATGGATTGGTAATGAGAGACCCAACATCCCACCCAAAGTAGGTAATCTGATGGTCCTCTGATGCAAGAAAATGGTTCTCTTTTCAGATTTTCTTCTATATTCTTGTATCTTAGCAAAAGAAGAGAAAGGAGGGACAAAAATCAGGCCTTCCAAATACCAAATATTCTATTTGGATACTTTTCAAGGGAGTAAAAATCAACTGCACTCCTGAGACAGCAGACAGTCCCCAGGAGCATCTGCAGGACACTGGCAGGCCCTGCAGTCCAGGCACAGAGGTGGGACAACTCCACACACAACTCCACACATGAACTCACCCTAACCCTAGACGGTACTTGTCAATAAGAGAATGCATCTGCAGTAACAAGCTCAAAAGGCTTTCACATTTATTTTTATCTGTCACTTTTTGTGATAGTGATTACAATTATTTATTTCTGCATGCAGTAATCTGTAATGATATATTTTTTACAGTGTATTGCCTGATATTATTTCCTATCATCTGTTCTCACTGATTTTATATTAGGGACTTTTATATTAATGATGGAGTGTTTCTTAATGTATTGGAATTCGTGTCTAAACTGCATCTCTCTGAAGGTCATCCCTACATATATGTATTTCTCTGATGCATGACTAGGGAATGTGATTACATAGTAAAGCCAAATTAAGATTACATATTTATTGGTCTAAAATAAAATACTAAATAAAAGAAAATAATTCAAAGTCTAAATAAAACACTAAAAAGTAGTTTCACAGCATAACTGTAGCTAAAGGATATCCAGTTACCTACTTTGCAGGTGTGGCTTTCTTTATTAGTGTGTTTATTGTGGGATTTAATTCATTAGATAACTAACAGGGACTATAAATACACATGCAAATTTCCAGCTGATAGGAAGCAAAAAGTTGATAAATAATGCTGCAGTATAACTTTAAAAACAGAAGTAGTGGGCCTTCAGGCTATTTTTTAAATCATTTATTTTTGTTTATTCTGTAAAGACTATTTTCATTTGTATTTTTTAAATCTATATATAAATACACTGGGGAGAGAAACAAACAGCGTATTTATGAACATTTTTGATGGGGACCAGCTTGTAACTGTTTTGAGACTGTAACTGCTGTAAAGATGGACAATACCCCCAGTTTTATTACTTCTGCAACTGGAAAACTACTGCACATTCATATCATATTTAATGAAAATTAAACTTATCTCTCAGTGGAGGTAACAAGACTCTCAAAAATAACTTTTTAGTTCACTCTGCACAAAGGGGTTCAGTCTCTAAGAATTTATAACAAGCTAGTGTAAAGGCATCTTTGTAACTGGCATATGCTGTAGTTTTGGATATAAACCAAATCTTGGGGTATTTTCAATAGATTTGGAAAATCCAATTGTTTGACCAACAACCTAGTATGAATAAATGTATATATAATACACATCTAGCATTGCATGATATGTACATTCACAGATACAATCTGCATGTCATACAAGAGAACGTTACACAAATTAAAACTAGTCAACCACAGTTTCCATCAATTCTTTAAAACCCAGAGCTGGTGTGAGAGTGCTCTCTGTCAGTAAGCAACTCCTACAAAAAAGAATCAGTGACACGGTGGGAAAGAAGGGAGAATCAGTGACACGGTGGGAAAGAAAGGGAGAATCAGTGACACGGTGGGAAAGAAAGGGAGAATCAGTGACACGGTGGGAAAGAAAGGGAGAATCAGTGACACGGTGGGAAAGAAGGGGAGAATCAGTGACACGGTGGGAAAGAAGGGGAGAATCAGTGACACGGTGGGAAAGAAGGAGAAGAGCAGAAACCTGAGGTTCAGGTGGTGCTTCTTCCTCTACCAACTAGAAGAGTCACACTTCATGAGCCAAACAGAACCCGGTTCTGTATCTCCAAAGTGATGGAAAAGACCCTGATCATCTTTAAGGCCACAGAAAGTCTCTGCCCTTAAGTTAAAAAAAAAATCAAGTTCATTTTAAGAATACAAAGATATGAGGACATTTCTCGCATGCTACATTAGATGTTTATCTATGTATGAGACAGGTGTCAAACAAACAAATTTAAAAAAAAAAAAAACCACTAAGGCAAAGGGAAACTTTAACTCACCAGATTCCATCTGTTACATCTGAATTCATGCATAATTGATTATCCATGACTGGTAAGTTCTTTTCTCACTAGCCGACCACAGTTTTCTAAACATTATGTATTAAATCACTAGCAAAGTAGACTACATTTCAGAAACAGCAAGGGCAGAATAAGAATATTTTAAATGAAAAATTACATGCTGGTTAATAATAATACAGCTGACCTATGTTTAAGGGAGAGAAATTTTAATCATGTGCATATTAAATATTAATAACCTATTCTGTTATTGTTATAATAAGGTTAAGTAGGCTTCTCCGTGCTTAAGGAAAGAGGGAGAACTAGGAATGCATAGCTGTGCAAAGAGATATAGAGATGGAGACACACAGAAGGAAAATGTGTCAACAATAAACTAGAGGAAATGAAAAAGAAGGAAAAGATGAAGGTGGAAACTAATCTCTATGTGTCATTATGACTGCCAGAGTACTGGCAAAGAAGCAGCATCCTTTTATTTCAATTTTAATCATTTCTGAATTTTAATACCCAGCTCCTTTTGTAATTCTCCTGGCATTCCCCATATGCCTCCATCCCAGCCAAAACACCAGTGTAAATTAAATGGCAGGCAACCACAGCACTGATGTAGCCTCCCCAAAGAACCTAGCAGGTGACCAAAAGCAGAAAAAGGTATGTCTACCTTACATCCCCGAGGACCTCCAGCCAACTGGCTGGCTCAATGTTCTCTATTTCCTCTAATTTTGCAAAGAAGGACAGTAGTTGGGTAATCTACAGATAGAGAATCATTAAAAAAATAAAGCAAGCCAGTGGTAATACAATAATCAGTGACCATCAGGGCCTGGAAAAATGAGTTTGCTCTCACTGGCACTAAGGAGCATCACATGATTATTTAATTACAGCTCTAATTTTTGTCTCGTGGATGGCAACATATCAACAATTAATAGGGCAAATAGAGGAGACTGTTTTTAAAGAGACAGAATGCGCATGATAATGGACTAGGTCACACAGCAGTCTGCAGCTTCAGGAAGACTTTTCTTTGTGTAACTAAACAGCACTGTCTTGCCACAGCCTCACATGTGGAAATAAATTTAAAGAGGAAGTGTCTTTTTTTTTTTTAAATGATAACTTTCTTAGAAGGCTGGGAACTTTTCAGAACATTTTAGATACACCTAACCCAAACCCACTGCAATGTGAGCATTAATTTTAAGGAAGAGAAGGAAATCGTCCTTAACATAAATACCCTAAGTGCCAAACCAGTGTTACACAATGGATATAAAAATCCATTTTATATCTAAGTGGGTAGAAAAATATCTGTTATGCAATTAATCATGCCTGATATTTATCCAGTGAGGTCCTGGAAAAACATCACCGTCGTGGGAAAGAGACGGATGGAGGTCAGTCGGATGCAGGCTGCTTAGCACACAGTATTTGGGCCCCAGAAGATCAGAAGGACCGCTACCCGGTAGCCTGACTCCAGGGCCCTCCAGAGAGCTCTGCGCTGACTCCAGAGCAGGTTGTGAGCACCACCCTGCACCAGAGGACCGAGAGCCTCGACAGAGACCCTGCCCCATCCTCAAGGTCGAGGAGGAGGAGACAGACCCTGGTGCTACTGTCCAAGAAGGACACAGCGCATAGAGGAGAAAAGCCCTCAGTGACCCAGGACACGGGGCACGTGCAGATGAAGTGTGCAGAGAACCCCGGGGAAAGGAGAAGATGGGGAGAAAAGCCTTCTCCCACTAAGCCATCTCGGCACAAGCTAAATTCACTATTCTGTTACGGATTTAGCAGATCTTTAATGAGTACTCTCCACGCAAGACAGAATGTGAAGTTACTATTTTCTATAACACAGACATGCACCTTACACTGATTTTTTTTTTTTTGTAGTTGAATAAGTTGTTGGAATAAATAAAGGCAGCAGCACCTAAAAATTCATAAAGTGGGAATCCCAGTACATTTTTAAGTGCTGTATTACAAGGTTACAAGGTCAACATGTCCAGATTAGCCGAGAGAGTTCAGAGAGTCAACCAGTGTGAGACTTGTCTAAGGCAGGCTCAGTCCAGCTTTCAACCTCACTAGTTTCAGTCACCCCTTGTTTGCCATGCCAGAAGCCAAGGCAAAAACCCAGGCTTCAGAGTTGGAAAAGAGTCTTAGAACTACTGCTGTGATTAACTGCTCAAATGCATCTTATATATCACGCTCTACAGAACTGCAAGAAAGCACAGCCTTGCTCAAGAAATAG